TTAAACAAGATTATTAGACATTAAAAAAGCGAGCGATTGCTCCATGTTTTAATTCTTTCGAGAGATGTCATGTTTTGATCCTTGATTGGTCTCATGTAGTCAAGTGATGTGATTTTTGATGCATGACCTTACGTTTCCGGTCTGATGCATTTGCATGCATATGAATAAAAGTCTATGGGGAGAAAAGTCCAGTGTGACCACAGCTTAAGTGCCATAGGGTTGACAAACTCCTACTGTGGAAGAAATGTTAAGGCACTGTGATAGGAGCCACCTATGCAATAAGTACATTCATGAAATTTTCTATCTGTTATATCTAAGTGAAAGCAATTGGGAACAGAAGAAACTCCAAGTGGATGCTGCACATGGATGGATGGATGGGTAGATGTCCCCCACCCCCAATCATGCTTCTCTGTCTAGAGCAAGGGTGCCCAAACTCTGTCCTGGAGTGCCGGTGTCCTGCATATTTTAGTTCAAACCCCAATTAAACACACCTGAACCAGCTAATCAAGCTCTTTCTAGGTACACTAAAACTTCCAGGCAAGTATGTTGAAGGAAGTTGGAGATAAAATATGCAGGACACTGGTCCTCCAGGACAGAGTTTGGAACATACCTGTCAATCTTTTTTGTGTTTTTCGTAATTCTCCCATATTTTACAGTTCTATCCCGCTATCATCCCGTAAAGGTATTTTCCTGTATTTCTCCCGTATTTTCAGTCTTTGTCTAAATAAACATAAAAGAGCCGATCCTCCCTATACGCAACCCATACAGCCGAACCACCAGGGGCCGAACCACCCCTTACTCTTAAATGAGTGTGTTCTGTGCTTTTGTTTTATTTAGGCATAAAAACAGCAGGATTCTCTTACCTTTTTATCACAGGTGCTGTCACCCCTCCTATGCAATCCTCAAAACGGTGCGTGATATAGCGTGCGTCATATAGCGGTGCGTGACTGTCAGCTGACGCGTTCTATAGTGATTGTGATGCCTGCTGCGCTGTCATTTGTCTGCTGTGCTGTCTGTGTGTCTGTTTTGCTTCCTCTACAAATGCACTGCAACGTTGTGGGGCATAATCAGGTGGATGGAGAACAGCGGAGTCTAAGTGTGCGCTCTTTTATCAGCATCCTGCTGTTTAAGAGACTCTTTTCCTGATGCTAAGGGTTGGACGGAGACCAACGGCGTGCGAGTTGGCAAGGCGATTTGCCTAATGTTTGGTCACACTGGGCTTAATATAAACTTTTGAAACGTGACTTTTGGCTTTCCCCTCTTTTTTCTTGTTTCACCTCAAGGACATAACAGTGATAAATAGATGGATTTTGTACACACGTTTTGAAGCACTGTACAGACTTATACACATAACTAATTATAATACCATCTAAAGATGTCGATGTCTTGGTGGGTGTTTTTTTTTTTTTTTTCAAACACAAGTAATTTTGTTCTAAATGAGCATAAAAAAAAGAAAGCAATGCTATTATTATATAGTTAGATGTGTGCATTTTTAAAGTGACACCTCCGTTTTTTAAATGTAATTAAACAAAAAATCAAAATAAATGAGATTCATTCATTGCTTTTTAATCAGAATGTGTTAGTTATACAGTGAAGATTGAGATTTGATAACTTGATGCTATTTGTTTATAATAACTAATTAAATTAATTTTAATAAGCTAAACTGCAAATTTGCTGTTAATGTATATTATTTATTTTTTCTTTTGTAAATAATAATAATAAAACATATTACTGACTGTTCAATAGTTTATTTACAATGAAACAGCCTCAGAAGAACATATTTAGTAATTTGGGGATTTTTTTATGGGGAGGGGGGTATCCCTTATTATGGTGGGCATATCCCTTATTTTCACATCCCAATGTTGACAGGTATGGTTTGGACACCCCTGGTCTAAAGTAATAATGGGAGACATTATGCTTATAGCTTCAAAACAATTGATTCTTAAAATGATTCACTGTTCTGAAACAATTGAACTACTGTACCACATGCTAGAAATACCTAGGGGTGGGATCCCTTTAAATACAACAAAAACATGCACTAGAATAGGTATATTCAAACATACTGAACTTTAAAATATAACCTCTAAATGCACTTAGCTTAGTCTAATAATTAAATAATTAAATATTAAGTGTCTGTATATTAGACTTTTTATAAGTTTTCAAATCATGTATATTTTTGATCCATGTTGGGCTTGGCTAGCCATGGCCAACAAATAAATTACCTACTACTAACTGTTATTCCTTTTACATGTGTCTCATTAAAAAGTCTAAAAACATGTCAAATCTGTCAGCCTGATGGACAAGTCTGAGTTAAGCGATCACAGGGAAAACGACCTTGCTGCCAAGAGTAAAGTTGGCAGAGGAAGGGATTAAGATATTTGTTCAAGGTTTGGGCTTGTCCCCTTGGTCCCCTTGGACAGATTGCACTATCATGTTTTTCTATTCTTCTTCATTCTTTCATATCACATTTTACCTGTTTTTATGTTTTGTTTTTATGCATTTTTATTATTTTATTTTACTTGTTTCTTTTATTCTTGTTTATGTAAAGCACTTTGAATTGCCATTGTGTATGAAATGTGCTATATAAATAAACTTACCTTGCCTTGCCTTGGTTCCTGTGAAAGGAACTATGAAATGATTCAGCATACAAAGAAATTTTGCACAATTGCGTTCCCAACTTTAAAAAGAATCTTAAGGGACCATTCCTGCTCCAACATGACTGCACACCTGTACACAAAGCAAGCTACATAAAGATATGGATGAGGAGTTTGGTGTGGGGGAACTGAACTGGCCTGCACAAAGTCCTGTCATCAACCTGACTGAGCACCTTTATAGTTAGAGCACAGACCGATTCAGGCCTTCTTTCAAAATAAGTGGTTGACCTCAGAAATGCACTTTTGAAAATCTGGTCGAAAATTTCCGCTATCCATATTACACCCTACGGATTAAGATGATGCCATTAACAATCATATGCATATAAAGCGAGATGTCCCATAAACATATAATGTGTGTAAAATCACAATAGTGTATCTCTTGCTTTTCTGCCGCTCTTTCAAAACGCTTCTCCATTTTTTTTTCTTGACGTCAAACGTTTACGGTAGCTGAGCAAGCAGAAGCCCCTCTAACCCATTACCTAAAAACAGCCCACCAGCACTGCTCATTCTCACACACAAGATGCTTGTTCACCAGCAGATCAAACCACTTTTTTTCAAACCACAGCAGGTTTCAGTTCGACTCAAAAGATGTGTCACACTGCACACCACTGAGTTTTTCCACAACCTAAAACCAACAGCTGAATAAATTCACATTAAATATTATGCACATATAATATTATACATGAACTTTTGCTCCACTTCAAACTGAAATAGTTAGTCCAACATTCTACTTTTACATTATTAAATACTTTAATATTCTACATTTTAAAAGATAATGAAGGACATTTTCCACCATTAAGAAATGTTGGTTTTACTAAGAGTCAGAACAACATTTTTCATATTAATTAATTTACATTGTACTTGTAAACATTATATCAACTAATCCGTGTGCATACCTGGTTTTCATGATATTGTGGTTAGCAAATGTATCCTCATGTAGTAAAACCAGCAAATTTGAAAACATTTTGTTCCCAGTGAGGAAACAGCTCTTAAATAATCTGGTATGAAGCATTTTGAAAATGTAAAAGTGCAGATTGTTTTCTGTGAGTGTTGGATTTAGGGGCAGGGTTGGGATACGAGAATACGATTTACAGTTTCTCCACAGTGCAAACATCATGTCTATAGGAAGACCCCATAAAACATGAAAACCCTAACATTGTGTGTGTGTGTGCGTTTGTGTGTGTAAGCATGCATGTATGAGTATATAAAGGAGGGCTGAACTGTCTGAGGAGGATTCACACATCATTAACTGATCTGTTCTGCTTCTTCAAAACAGTTTTAGTGTTTTAAAATGAACAGTTTTATTATCAATATATATCAATGAACATCTGAAAATGTTTAACGCTTTTCTTTTGTTCTGTTTGTGTCGGCTCCATCTGATTGGTAAGTTAAGTTTTTTTTCATGCGATACCAGAACAGAATGTTTAATTTATCACATTGGTCATTTACAAAATGTTTTAAACCCTTATTTCATTAGTCATGTACTCTTAGCATTTATGCTAGCAAGTGTAGTTTTTGGGGGGGGGGGGGGGGGGGAGTCTATTCTGTTAACCATTTAGGGTAACAGCTTCGACTAACAATTGACCATCATGTATTTGTGAAATTAGGAGAGCTTGTGTTCCTCTTTGTATGTGTATCAAGAGGTGAAATATCATTTTGGTTTTAAGTGAAATGTCTTATTTCTACACATTTCCAAATTTGTCCTTATTGAGTTTAAAAGCAAAATGCTTTAAAAATTATACACGCACACATATACATTAACAGATTTATTAAAAAGATATATTTATTAAAATAATATTTTAGTCACCAAACAGGTTTAGAAATAAAAAATACAATTACATTTTAGCAAAATATTTAAAAAAAATATAAAATACAACCTACAAAATTTCAACTAAATTTTTCAATTTTCAATGTTTTTTTTTTTTTTTTGCTTCTCTTGATTTTTAAAATGTATATTAAATATTTTTCTTAAACGTATAAATGTGGGGGTACTGGTTTTTGGACTGTTATCACAAGTTATTTTGTTAGATTATTTGCAGATTTGGCTTAAGTACTGACTAAACTAATGTATATGCACAAATATAATAGTGTAAAGCTTCCTATAAAAAAAATAAAATTATATATATATATATATATATATATATATATATATATATATATATATATATATATATATATATATATCCCTAAAAAGCAAATAATAATAAAAGTAGTAGTGATAGTGGTAATAATACTAATAATAAAAGTAGTAGTGATAGTGGTAATAATACTAATAATGATGATGATCATGATGGATGAATCTTAATAATAAATTAAAATTTTAAAATTAATACTAAGTTACTGATATTAGGAAAAAAAGACAATAAAAGGATTAGTGTTTGTATGGTGTTGTATGTGTAAAGAGTTAACATTTTGTAATGTCAAATGTACCCGCAATTATACAAACACCCATATTAGCACTCACATACACACACACACACACACACACTTTTAGGTTTATACTAAATCTTATTTCGGCATAGTAAAATAAACATGGTTAAATTCTAATTGTACAAGGTGATTTCAAACTTTGTAAAGCAACAGTAACCCTGATCTTGTTTTTCAGGTGTGTTTGGCTCCAGTAGGAATGAAATGCAGTCATTCTCAGTGATGGAGGGAGATTCTGTCACTCTACACACTGGTGTTACTGAATTACACAAAGGTGAATTAACATGGCACTTTGTAGCTGATAACTCTCTAATAGCTCTTATTAACAGAGCTTATCAGGCCTTCTCCACAATGGATGGTCCTGATGGGAGATTCAGAGACAGACTGAAGCTGGACAATAACACTGGATCTCTGACCATCATCAACATCAGATCTGAACATGCTGGAGTTTATGAAGCGCAGATATTTTCAGATAATACATCATCAAAAAGATTTAAAGTTACTGTCTATGGTGAGTACAAAGCCTTCTTGTTCGACCATTTACAATTTATTGTTTAAGTATTTCATAGCACAAATGCCAATAGATAATATCATTGCAATTGCATTACATGTGTACTCAGCCCGTTCAAACAAAAAGTTTCCTATTTTAAACACATTCATATTTCTCTTTACACTGATTCCAGCTCGTCTGCCTGTTCCTGTCCTCATCTTCAACTCCTCTCAGTGTTCCTCATCCTCACAGTATAATTGTTCAGTGTTGTGTTCAGTGGTGAATGTGAGCGCTGTGAGTCTCTCCTGGTACAAAGGAAACAGTGTATTGTCCAGCATCAGTGTGTCTGATCTCAGCATCAGTCTCTCTCTACCTCTGGAGGTGAAATATCAGGATAACAACACCTACAGCTGTGTGATCAACAACACCATCAGCAACCAGACCACACATCTGGACATCAACACACACTGCCAGCCATGTTCAGGTATGCGCTCATCTACACATTCACTTACGTTAATGTCTCTCAATCATAAAAATCCTCCTCTTCCTCCTGAAGGCTCAGCATTTTGGACGGTGTTCATCACTACTGCTGTTGTTGGATCTCTGTTGACTGTAGCTGCTGTCTGGATGATCAGGATCTACAACAATCAGAGAAAAACAGACCATGAAGGCAAGCATTAACAACCTTTTTACCAAATGGACAGTACTTTGACAAACATTTAGAGTACTGTATAGTTCCAATTGCCTTTTAATAAACATGATAATTGTCATTATTTAAGGGCACCTATTATGCCCCTTGTCACAAAGCGTAATATAAGACTTTTGGTGTCTCCAAAATGTGTCTGTGACATTTCAACTCAAAAAACCCTTCGGACCAATAATTATACCCTGTTGAAAACACCAATTTTTGGGTTAAAGTAAAAACAAGCCATTTTGGTGTATGTGCCTTTAAATTTAAACGAGCGGATTTTCCTTGCATTTGAAAAGTAATAGCATTTGGACACAGTTTCCATCAATTATTTTTTCCTGTACAATATGGATTATTGCATTAAAAATATCAAGATGCACATCGATTTTAAAAAAGCAAACAAGTGAGTAGGATAAACTTTTTATTTGATACGAAATAAGTAAGGAACTATGATGGAAACACATTGACTGAATAAATTACAGAATTAGGACAAAAATGACGGTCATGGGCTGGCATTAAATGGATGAACCAGTGAATTGACCATGTTATGAAATATCTGAAATGTTGTTTTTGTCATTTTAAAATCCCTTAGTCAAAGTCTGTCATCGAAATTACAGTGGTCGCTCGTTATACATGGGGAAAAAAAAAAAGCACAATAGGTAAATCCTTGGTAGTCAGCTTCATATTTTACAATTATTATCGATTTTTTAGGCTGTAAAACACCTCACTGCATGCACACTTTATACACTTTTCTCGGACAGGCATTAACAGTTTCACACTCTTTTTATTTTTTTTTAACCTCTCAAAGTTCATTTGAAAAATAAGTCCAGTATTTTAAAATGAAACCAAAGATCAAAACCAACTGATCGACATTTATTTATTCAGAAATGGCGCCCTACAGCCGCATAACTTCTTCAGCATGTCCAGAAGTTCAACTTTTTGATTGAGGTAAAGTTGGTTTTATATTCGCACAGTGACCATTTGTGACATGCCACTTTGAATATTGGTTCTTTAATCTCATGTAAATATGACTTCAAAACAACATTAGCTCTATTTACTTAACTGTGAACAATGTTGTAGTTGAATAGTCATGGGCTGCTAATATGAGTTTCCTATTTAGAATTTGCAAACAATACTTTTCTGAAATTATATTATTAAGGAGAGACTCTGAATGTGCGAATATAAAATCAACTTTATCTCAATAAATTTGAGTAATTGTTAGCATCTTTCGTTGCCTTTTGTGTGCTACCACAGGTGCCTTTAACAGTGCAGAACGTATCGTTGAGATTGTGGGGAGAAAACTTGCAAACATATAGTACAGCACTGCTAGTGATTGAATATTTATGCAAATTTAGCAAGATGAATGCATTCTGTACTGTGCAGGATTAAGATTGCTTGACAATGGTCTACAGCCAGTCAGAACGCAGAACACCATGCGCTATAGAAAGAAGCATGTTAAATTACACACACACACACACACACACACACACACACACACACACACACACACACACACACACACACACACACACACACACACACACACACACACACACACACACACACACACACACACACACACACACACACACACACACACACACACACACACACAAAAAACCCTGCTAAAAGTGAACCATGTTATAGCGAGAGACCACTGTATATGTATTATCAGTATTAATACTTCCAGAATGATTTTAAGCTTCTCTACTTCCAAAAAGTAGTCTTACGCCTCCAAAAGCCACCATATGTTTATTGCATTTTGTTTTTGTTTTCTGAGTCATACTGTATGTTATGCATGTATGTATATACATATTCCAGCTTTGCGCTAAAGTCTAAGTCACATCTTTGGATGGAAACATAGCATTTGGTCTTGTTCTAATACCTATGTGTCAGGGCAGGCACAGTGACAAAGTGAAAACAAAAGAAATGAGAAGGATCAACATAGAAACAAAAATGTAATCAAAAATATACCTAGCATACACAATTTAAAAATGAAAAGTCACTCGTTGGCTTCGTAACATCAATGTCAGTGTAATGTAAAAAGATGACAGGATATTTGTGTTTTAGCACTCTTTTTCTGATCTAATTTTCATTTAGTTTAATAAAAAAAGGAAATAGCACCATTCTTTCAAACGATCTTTACTGAGGTGAAATTTGATTTATATTTAAACATTCGTTCATTTTTGGAACATTATTAACAAAGCATTATATATATATATATATATATATATATATATATATATATATATATATATATATATATATATATATATATATATATATATATATATATAGTTGATGTCAGAATGATTAGCCCCCTTTGAATTTTTTTTTCTTTTAAAATATTTTCTAAATGATGTGCAACAGAGCAAGAAAGTTTTCACAGTGTGTCTGATAATATTTTTTCTTCAGGAGAAAGTCTTATTTGTTTTATTTTAGCTAGAATAAACACAGTTTTTAAATTTTTTAAAATCATTTTAAGGTCAATATTATTAGCCCCTTTAAGCCATATATTTTTTCGATAGTCAACAGAACAAACCATCGTAATAAAATAACTTGCCTACCCTGACCTGCCTATAAACTAATTAACCTCGTTAAGCCTTTAAATGTCACTTTAACCTGTATAGAAGTGTCTTAAAAAATATATAGTCAAATATTATTTACTGTGATCATGGCAAAGATAAAATAAATCAATTATTAGAAATGAGTTTTTAAACTATTATGATTAGAAATGTGTTGAAAAAAAAAAAAAAAATCACCCGGTTAAACAGAAATTACGGAAAAATTGCCTAGTATCTAGTAAATTTTTACGGAATTTTTTTTACTTTAACTGTATATTGACCTTTCTTCCAACAACTTTTAACCTTGAAAAGTTTGAAAAGGAGTTTATTAAAAATTTTAATACTTTAAAGTCTCGGTTAATGTTGTTTATTACGATACAAAACCCTTGTAATAAACTGCCAGTCATTTCTCTGTTATTTTACAGACTTATTTCTCTATACATTTCTTATACATTATTTGAAAATGGTAAAATGTCAATAAAAGTCCATTTGTTGCAAGTTGATGAAGAGATAAAGGTCCCATAATGCAAATCACATTCAAAAATGGATGGAAAACACTTGTAAATTATAAACATTTTTATAGTGTAGACTTTTAACTATCTGCCGATCACAGATAGACAAAATGAAAGACATGGCACAACATACAGAGCTGAAGACATGGTTAATACATTGTCAAATCAACAACATGATGAAGGGCTACTGAAAAAAGACATCAAAAAAGACTGGATGGACTGTTTATCGTTCTAAAATGGCTGTGTACACACAGTTCTGTCCAAACACCTTTTAAAACAGTACTTTGCATAACAGGTGCCCTTTAAAATGTGAATTTGTGTGTAAGAAAGTTAAAATAAAACTAAAATTTGTGGGCGTTTTAGTTTTTAAGATATAGCACCTTGTATCATTTTAGTTGTGAATTCATTCTTTACATTTGACAGTCTCTAAACAAATCCAATAGTAAGTTAACACCTTTTTATTGTTAAATCAGTTGAGATTCGTGAAGAAGAGATCACTTATGCAGAGACAACGTTCAGCAAAAGAATTGCACATAACTCGGTAAGATTATGTTAATCTTTATCATCTCAGCAGGAAGTGCAGGTGTCTAGCGCGTTTTCAAAGAGAGGCCACTGCCTCAAAAGAGGGTCGTTGAGCTTCAAATGTTCTCATACATCTATATTTCGAATTTATAGTTTCATTTTGTGACTGAAACAGGAGATATACAATCTGTACTTTAAATTCAAATTAGTCATAAACAATCCACATTTAATCTAATTATCATAAACAAAAAGTGTATGTGCTACACAACTATTTATTTAAGCAAATTAAAATCTTGTTTTTGCTCAAAGCTAACCTAATGTATGCTAGTCGAGCAAAAAATAACTTTGTTCATAATTATAAAACATTTTATAGCCTACTTGTCATACATAAATGCTACATCAGTTAGCATAGCATTATATTACATAGAATACTTTAGCATTTAACACATCAACCACATCACATCGTGTTGGTTTTTTTGTGTTTCATTACTTCAAAACGATGCAACAAATAGCTTGTTTTACTGCTTTAGCTTTGTACCTTCATTAAAAAAAAACAAAGGTTAAACCATTTTAGCAAGAACATAGTGGTGTAGTTGTGCATTTAGTAGCCTGATAAAACCATGAGGGGATAAAATAACATCTTTCCGTTGTAAGAGCAGCCACAGATCTGCTCTTCAACCCCTTTTTATCTGTTGATCAAACTCTGCAGCGCGCCAGTAGCACGTATGCAGTATCACGTGCAGCTGCTTCTGCTACTTCAGTTGTTGTGGGCAAACAAACATGCTAGCAGATCAACCGCTGCTGTTTAGGAAAATGTTTAAACCACAGATATGGTTAACCATATTTAAATGACGCTCCTTTAAACTGCTTCTTGTTAGTGCTGTCACGGGAGGGAAATAATTTTTAAATAACCACCTATATTAAAAATGACTGTAGTAAAATATAGCTAGACATCACACATGCTAGACCTATTGTAAAAGCATTCATAAGCCCAGGTAATATGTTAGGCTAAAATGTAAACAAATGACCTAATTCCATACTAAGTTTCTAGTTTCTATGGTATATTTTACTGCAAAGCACAACACACAAAATATTACACTTTACTAAAGTAGGTTATAGTTCAAAAACACCATGGTATTTACTATATTTTTTTCATGTGATCAATTACATTGAATGGCAGGATGAGCTTTAGAAAAAGTTGTTAATATCTTCTGTGCCTTATTTTTTTTTTACAGGAAGTTAACGAAGAGGATCAAGTAGAATATGGAAACATCATCATGAGATGACGTCACTATAAGAACATTTAGAACTCTTTTGAAATGTCGAAGTTTTTCCACTAGCGATGAGTTCTGTGAACACTGAATCAGGAGAGTATGTTGACTTCAGTCAATGGGGTATATGCACAGCTAGTGTTTTTCTAGCCAGCAATAAACTTC